GAGGCATTCGGGACACCGCTCCTCACACCCTGCGGCCTGGCTCTGCGGAGCACTTACCAATCACACTTTGTAGTATCAACCCCGGCAGGCGGCTGTAGGAGTAAGCGCTCCGAGTGGAGAGAATGCTCGGCCCGGGGCCTTCGAGGACACGCCCCGCCCGCGCCCCCGCCCCGGGCGCAGCCCCGCCCACGGCTGGCCTGGGTTGGGCAAGTCCCAACTGGTTTGGAGCTAGGGCTCGTGGCAGACCGCGGCACTGCAAGACCTGGGGCACCTTCCCAGTCTGTGGGGCCAGAAAGTTAACTTGAGGGCTCCGGTGATCAGCAAGACCCCCCACTCACCCAGAGACAGAGGAGCTAGGCTGGAGACAGAACCAGGTGGCGAGTGGAGAGGTGGGGAAGGTGGCACCTAGCCCACCAGAGCCCAGAACTGAGACCAAGACCAAATCCTCCTCCAGTCTAAGCCCGGGGAACCACTCTGAGGCTGCAGGTTCTAGCGGCTGAGGAAATGTTGGAGGGGAAGCTCCAGGTACAAGTGTGAAGAGTGCCGGGAGACCCACAGACACGTGAGGGCCCTGCAAGAGGGCATATGGTCTGTCTAGGAATGGTGCCAGATGATGAGGGAGTAAGGACCGGGACCAGAGAGCTAGCTGATCACAGAAGTGAGGGGCAGGACTCCCTTTCCACATGAGGGCTAGCATGGTAGTGGACACTTGTTGAAACCTGAGTCCTGTGATGGACGGAGAGGGAGGGCTTGGCGAGTGACCAGAATCACAGGACATACACAAGTGCACAGGGACTCACAGCCACAGGAATGACAGGCTAGTGTGTACCTGTGAATCTCTCCATATCACCTCGTGCCGTGGACACCAAACATGAACCACAAATGTACTGTGGCTCTGACACACAAAAAGCAAGGAGTGCACAGAGGCCAGTGACCTTTATTGGTCTACTAAACAGATATGAAGACGGAAGACTTTGATCATTCAGAGCTTAGTTCCTTCAGGTAGCTGATGCTTTCTGGCTAGAGCCACATACCTAACAGGCAGCCGCCACCCACCACCAGTCCCCTTCTAAATAAGGAAGGCCCTGTGAGTCGGTGAGTCATTTGGGGCTGGTCATCGGGCACTAGGAAGATGGCCAGAGCCTCGTCTCGGGGGCCGAGCCCAGCCACAGCAGCAGCAGCAGTAGGTAGGTCCAGGCTTGTGGGCAATCGCTAGAGCCTTCCTATGGCTACTCCCCAGCAGCTTAGTCTCACAGGCGTCTCTCTCATCTCGAAGTCGCAGATTCAGCTCCCTAGAGAGGAAGAGTTTGAGACTGTGGAGGTTAATTAAAGATCTAGAGGAAGCAGTGCATCGGGAAGATGGGCTGGCTCTCCTGAGTCCGGAGGACTGCAGAGAGTGCAGCATGAAGGCTACATGGCAAGATGGTGAGAGCCAAGACTATTCGGGAACTTGAAACCACTTCTCCACACAGCCCAGGTAGGCCTGACCCACCTCAGCAGCTCCAGCTGCCTTAGGAGACTGAGTTTCTCCTTCTGCATGTTCCTGGAGACAGCAACCACATCTCTGTAGGTAGAAGGTGGTTGGTGATCCAGATGCAAGGTGGGGGAAGGGACCCTCCACCCCGTCCACAGGCGCCTCACCACACCTTTGGGTTTGCTCCTGACGACCTTGTGCTTCGCCCTCCAGTCGGCTGAGCTGCTCTTGCGCCTGGTCCAGCTGTGCTCTTATCACCTCATAGGCCCTACGCAGCTGGGTGTGCTGGGCCTGCGCCTCTAGCTGTTCTGCAGTCCGGGCCTGCAGCTGCTGTTCCAGCTGGGGAATGTTGGGATGCTGGCAGGCGAACCACGCTCCCCGCTCACCCCCCAGTGCCAAGGTAACTTCTCACTCCTGCAGCTCGAGGACTCCGAGGCACAGGAAACCAACCCTCAAAGAAATGAGTCTGCGAGGATGCGGGCGTAAAGTAACTAAGGTTTACCTCCCGCTGCCGCAGGCCTGCACGCTCCAGCTCCTGCTCGCGGGTCTGCAGCTCCAGCTCCAGGTGGCCCCTCTGTTCCTCCCGGGGCAGTAGTTTCTGGGATGTACAGCCGCACTAGCTCCTGGCTCAGAGGAGGCAGGCGGAGAGGCAAGGGTGGGGAGCAAAGGGGTGGAGAGCGCGGGAGGGGACACTTGCGGAGGCAGAGCAGAGTTCCCTGGACTTGGGGCAGCTTGGACTCCCGGAGGTGAGTCCTCTGGGGCGGGACCAGTTCGGGGAAGGCGGAGCCAGAGAAGCCAGAGAGGCTGGGCGTGGCATACGCGGGCCCACCTGGCTCTGGCAGCGGTGTCGCTGCTCCCCCAGCTGCTGCTCCAGCTCTTCGTAGAGTCCGCGCACTTCCCTCTCGTGCTCACTCTCTCGCCTTCGAGGAACCGGGATATCACAGGCATGAGCATTTGCCAGTTTCCTCTCTGTCCCCTCGTGAGACCCCACACCTCGCCAAGCCGGTCCTCACCGCCGCAGTGCCTGCTCCAAACCGTCGCGTTCCCGGGCCGCCGCCTCCAGGCAGGCCGATGCGCGCATCAAAACTTCCTCCAGAGCGCCCAGCAGCTCGGGTCGCTCGCGCTGCAGCCGGACCCAGAGTGTCCTAACAGCCCATTGCCTAGAGGGTGTGAATAGAGATGAGCTGGCAGATGCTGGAGGTGTGTGCCCTTTTCGGAAGGTGAACCCGCTAGAGAATCCCGCGGCCCAGAACTGGCAGCACATCGGCCGCGTACTCTTTGGAGTGTGCTCTCATGCCTGCTTAGCCTTGCACGAGTGACTAGGTGTCTGGTGGCACCCCGCCCCCACAGAGCTATGGCCTCCTGAAATGCAAATCCTGAGGAAAATCACGCCAGGGCACTCTCCCAGACAACCACAACTGACAAAGGATGGACTGGCCCCGCCTTGGGATTCTGTGGCAACAGCCAGGAGGGCAGGGTGGACAGAACATGCAGAGGAGAGGGATCAGGCTCGAAAAGGAAGTGGGCCTAGCATCAACTCACTCGCCCAGGACCCGGGCCACTCCCAGCTTCTCTAAGGAAGTGCAGAATGTCTCAACATCGTCGTCCTCCTCCAGAGAGCCCCCTGTGCTTGACTCAAAGGTTTCCTCAGGAGTCCTCAAGGAGGACCCACCTTGGGCCGACTCCACCCCCACAAACTTTCCTGCAGACATGGGACCAGGACTGTGGGTTAACATGGGACCTACCCAACTCCCCCGGCCACACACAATATATCCTGTCCTCTCTCAGGGCCCAATTTCCTGTTTTTCTTCCTTGTTCTGGTTCTATTGGCCTGGGAATGGGAAATGACAGCCAGCTCCCCCGCCCCACCTGGGTTGGCAAAGGAGAAGGAATTGGGGGAGGGCAGACAGCTATGCTGCACAGTAGCTGGGGGTAGGTGAGGTGGTGCAGCTCACAGAGTGACTGCTTGTAGAATGCCTGGGTAGTTGTGAAAGGCACAGGCTATATAGAGTCTCACAGGGGCCTGAATAGGGTCTCCAGGTGGCTGGGACCTGCTTACCCAGGCCAAGACAGAACTCCCGGGCTGTGAGGAAGCCAGTGTGGGCCTGGTCCAGACTTTCAAACACAGCCTCCAGCTGCTCAGGCGTTAGGGGAAGATCACTCTGCAGGCCCTAGCCAGGCAAGAAAGACCAAGGTGAGCAGCCAAGGTTGGCCTTGGGCCTGGCAGCCTCTTGGAACTGTGGCTCACCTGCAAGTCCTGCCTAGTGATGAAGCCTTTAGCATCCTTGTCACACAGTAGAAAGAGCTCCTGGGCCTGCTGCAGCACCTCTGGACGGTGCCCTGCTGAGATTCCCTTCGTCTCCTCTTCCTCCTGGCCCTCCCCAGGCCCAGGCTGCCCAGGGCTGGCCATAGGAGCAAATCTTGCCTCTAGTAGGTGCTGAGAAGCCAAAGGAAGATCAGAAGAAATGGGAGGAGGGATGAAGGTGTGTCAGAGGGTGAAGACAGATAGAGGGCTTGGGACCTCCTTGTACCAGGTAGGAAAGTGAACAGAAGCAAGGCATTGGGACAGGGATGCTCTGTGACCACTGGGATGGGATGAAGCAGATTCAGGACCAACCATCTCAGGAAGCAGAAATTCTGGGGAAAACCTGAATCCCTGGATGGAGCCAGTTCAAGAAAGTGAGGGGTTAACTAGATATGGTGGCATATACTTTTTTTTTTTTCTTTTGGGGACAGGGTTTCTGTGTAACAGTTCTGGCTGTCCAGAAAAGGTGGCATACACTTTTCATCCCAGCACTCTGGAGGCAAAGTTAGGCAAAGCTACATAGTGAGCTTCTAGCTCAAAAAAAAAAAAAAAAAAAAAAAGAAAGAAAGAAAGAAAGAAAAGAAAAGAGAGTGAAACCAGACATAGTGGGGCATGCCTCAATCCCAGCACTCAGGGGGCAGAGACAAGCAGATCTCTGTGAGTTCAAGGCCCGCATGGCCTATAAAGTGAGTTCCAGAACAGCCAAGACTGTTACACAAAGAAACCCTGTCTCTAAAAACAAAACAAATAAAAATTAAATGAAGAAGAAAGTGAGAGTGTGACTTTACTACAGAAGACTTGTAAAAACAGGTGGCCAACTCTTGGCAGCCAGGAAAGAGATTTTGTAGTGAAAGAGAGCCAGAGTGTGAAGAGTCTGCCACATCCTGGACTTGGGAGATCCCAAGCTGAGACTGCTTAAGGAAGAGGGCTGAATCACTTCTGACCAAGTCCTTAGCCTCAGGACTGAGCCTGTGATACCCTGGCCTTCTGACAGCTGGCAAGCAGAGAGTAAACTCCATCAGCCCCTCCCACCTGCCAATAAGGCCTTAAGGGTGCAGGTGCAAGGAAGGCCCCAGTCCTGGGCACTGGACAGCTTTTGTAAGAAACACCCCCACATCTTGGTCTAATACAGCCTCTAGTCGTTTTTCTCTTCCCCCAGGGCCTCCCTCTCACCTCCTGGAATGAATATCCCACCTCTAATGAAAGTCACCTGTCTGTCCCACAGTGTACTAACCACTCCCCCCCCCCCCCCCGTTTCCCAAAGCCACACAGTGACACCAACCCAGACTGGCTGTCTCACTTCTCAGTCCTTGGGTTTATCTTCCCCCTACCCATATTCGAGGAGGAGAGTGACGATAGTCCAATAAGCAAACACGAGGAAGCAGCATGACAGGGCAACCTGGAGTCATTGCCCCCTTGACGGCTACCCTCACTTCACCCAGGCACAGTCATCAACCGCTCCCGGGCTCCACAGGACCGGAGGTCCATCCCAGCCGGAAACTGAACTGGAGCCAGGCTCCAGGGAGTCCAGAGGAAGGGCAGCGGGTGGACCCACAGGCAAACTTCATCCACACACGTCTAGGCTAGCTGCGGTGCACCCCGGGATCACAGCCGTCCCAGACTGAGGCGTACGGTCGCCGCTCCACACAGCGATCCGAAGGTGCGACCACCGGGACCGGGGGGTTGGGGGTAGGGAAGCCCGGCA